GCGCAACTTGTGCTTGTCAAAACACCTGCTGCAGCTTTGTGTGTTGCAAGAGGCACCTGGGTAAGCCAACAAAAGGCTTCGGATGGAAAGGGATAGTTTTGTTGTGAGACGTGCACAGCGCATTGATGCGCATTGATTGACCAGAGCAGAGAACTGAGTTTGCAAGCCTTCTATTCTTGCTGGCAGCATCCGTTACTGGTTGAGGAACCTCCACCTGCTGCAGCTTTGTGTGTTGCAGGAGGCACCTGGGTAAGCCAACAAAAGGCTTTGGATGAAATGGGATCGTTTTGTTGTGAGACGTGCACAGCGCATTGATGCGCATTGATTGACCAGAGCAGAGGACTGAGTTTGCAAGCCTTCTAGGCAGTTATGGGAACCTCCAGCTGATGATCCGGCGCATTCTTGCTGGCAGCATCCGTTTACTGGTTCCCAGAGCGCAACTTGTGCTTGTCAAAACACCTGCTGCAGCTTTGTGTGTTGCAAGAGGCACCTGGGTAAGCCAACAAAAGGCTTCGGATGGAAAGGGATAGTTTTGTTGTGAGACGTGCACAGCGTTGACGCGCATTGAATGACCAGAGCAGAGGACTGAGTTTGCAAGCCTTTAGGTAGTTATGGGAACCTCCAGCTGATGATCCGGCGCATTCTTGCTGGCAGCATCCGTTTACTGGTTCCCAGAGCGCAACTTGTGCTTGTCAAAACACCTGCTGCAGCTTTGTGTGTTGCAGGAGGCACCTGGGTAAGCCAACAAAAGGCTTTGGATGAAATGGGATCGTTTTGTTGTGAGACGTGCACAGCGCATTGATGCGCATTGATTGACCAGAGCAGAGGACTGAGTTTGCAAGCCTTCTAGGCAGTTATGGGAACCTCCAGCTGATGATCCGGCGCATTCTTGCTGGCAGCATCCGTTTACTGGTTCCCAGAGCGCAACTTGTGCTTGTCAAAACACCTGCTGCAGCTTTGTGTGTTGCAAGAGGCACCTGGGTAAGCCAACAAAAGGCGTCGGATGGATAGAGATGGGTTGGTAAACTTCTGTTTTGTTGGCATTGATGTGCATTGAATGACCAAAACAGAAGACTGATGTTTTCTTATTATTATGAATTTTGTCTGCTAGCGCTTTAGGCAGTCATTGGAACCTCCAGCTGATGATCTGGCACTTTCTTGCTGCAACATCAGTGTACTGGTTTCCAGAGCACAACTTGTGCTCGTCAAAACACCTGCTGATGAATGACCAGAGCAAAAGACTGAGTTTGCAAGCCTTTTAGGTAGTTATGGGAACCTCCAGCTGATGTTCCGGCACATTCTTGCTGGCAGCATCCGTTTACTGGTTCCCAGAGCGCAACTTGTGCTTGTCAAAACACCTGCTGCAGCTTTGTGTGTTGCAAGAGGCACCTGGGTAAGCCAACAAAAGGCTTTGGATGGAAAGGGATAGTTTTGTTGTGAGACGTGCACAGCGCATTGATGCGCATTGAATGACCACAGCAAAGGACTGAGTTTGCAAGCCTTTTAGGCAGTTGTGGGAACCTCCAGCTGATGATTCGGCACATTCTTGCTGGCAGCATCCGTTTACTGGTTCCCAGAGCGCAACTTGCGCTTGTCAAAACACCTGCTGCAGCTTTGCGTGTTGCAAGAGGCACCAAAGGCTTTGGATAGAGATGTAAGTTATCGTTTTGTTGTCAGACATGCGCAGCGCATTTATGCGCATTGAATGACCAGAGCTGAACACTGATAGTTTTGTCAGTATCGTCAGCTTCGCCAGTTTTCTATGGTAACTTTGGACGCACTTTAGCAGTCATTGGAACCTCCAGCTGATGATCCGGCACATTCTTGCTGGCAGCATCCGTTTACTGGTTCCCAGAGCGCAACTTGTGCTTGTCAAAACACCTGCTGCAGCTTGGTGTGTTGCAAGAGGCACCTGGGTAAGCCAACAAAAGGCTTTGGATAGAGATGGGTTGGTAAGTTATTGTATTCATATGGGACGTTCGCAGCGCATTGGTGCACATTGCATAGCCAGAGCAGAAGACTGAGTTTGCAAGCCTTTCAGGCAGCTGTGGGAACCTCCAGCTGATGATCCGGCACATTCTTGCTGGCAGCATCCGTTTACTGGTTCCCAGAGCGCAACTTGTGCTTGTCAAAACACCTGCTGCAGCTTTGTGTGTTGCAAGAGGCACCTGGGTAAGCCAACAAAAGGCTTTGGATGGAAAGGGATAGTTTTGTTGTGAGACGTGCACAGCGCATTGATGCGCATTGATTGACCAGAGAAGAGGACTGAGTTTGCAAGCCTTCTAGGCAGTTATGGGAACCTCCAGCTGATGATCCGGCGCATTCTTGCTGGCAGCGTCCGTTTACTGGTTCCCAGAGCGCAACTTGTGCTTGTCAAAACACCTGCTGCAGCTTTGCGTGTTGCAAGAGGCACCTGGGTAAGCCAACACAAAGGCTTTGGATAGGGATAGGTTGGTACACTTTTGTTTTTGTTTGCATTGATGCGCATTGAATGACCAGAACAGAAGACTGATGTTCTCTCAGTATCATCAATTTCGTTTGCAGGCCTTTCAGGCAGTTGTGGGAACCTCCAGCTGATGATCCGGCACATTCTTGCTGGCAGCATCCGTTTACTGGTTCCCAGAGCGCAACTTGTGCTTGTCAAAACACCTGCTGCAGCTTTGTGTGTTGCAAGAGGCACCTGGGTAAGCCAACAAAAGGCTCTGGATGGAAAGCGATCGTTTTGTTCTGAGACGTGCACAGCGCATATATGCGCTTTGAATGACCAGAGCAGAATACTGATAGTTTTGCCAGTAGCGTCAGCTTCGCCAGTTTTCTATGGTAACTTTGGACGCGCTTTAGCAGTCATTGGAACCTCCAGCTGATGATCCGGCACATTCTTGCTGGCAGCATCCGTTTACTGGTTCCCAGAGCGCAACTTGTGCTTGTCAAAACACCTGCTGCAGCTTTGCGTGTTGCAAGAGGCACCTGGGTAAGCCAACACAAAGGCTTTGGATAGGGATAGGTTGGTACACTTTTGTTTTTGTTTGCATTGATGCGCATTGAATGACCAGAACAGAAGACTGATGTTCTCTCAGTATCATCAATTTCGTTTGCAGGCCTTTCAGGCAGTTGTGGGAACCTCCAGCTGATGATCCGGCACATTCTTGCTGGCAGCATCCGTTTACTGGTTCCCAGAGCGCAACTTGTGCTTGTCAAAACACCTGCTGCAGCTTTGTGTGTTGCAAGAGGCACCTGGGTAAGCCAACAAAAGGCTCTGGATGCAAAGCGATCGTTTTGTTGTGAGACGTGCACAGCGCATATATGCGCATTGAATGACGAATACTGATAGTTTTGACAGTAGCGTCAGCTTCGCCAGTTTTCTATGGTAGCTTTGGACGGGCTTTAGGCAGTTGTGGGAACCTCCAGCTGATGATTCGGCACATTCTTGCTGGCAGCATCCGTTTACTGGTTCCCAGAGCGCAACTTGTGCTTGTCAAAACACCTGCTGCAGCTTTGTGTGTTGCAAGAGGCACCTGGGTAAGCCAACAATAGTCTTTGGATAGAGATGTTAATTATCGTTTTGCTTGAGACGTGCGCAGCGCATTTATGCGCATTGAATGACCAGAGCAGAATACTGATAGTTTTGCCAGTAGCGTCAGCTTCGCCAGTTTTCTATGGTAACTTTGGATGCGCTTTAGGCAGTCATTGGAACCTCCAGCTGATGATCCGGCACATTCTTGCTGGCAGCATCCGTTTACTGGTTCTCAGAGCGGTGTTTGTGCTTGTCAAAACACCTGCTGCAGCTTTGTGTGCTGCAAGAGGCACTTGGGTGGGCCAACAGGATTTCTGCCAGTGGGCAAACTTAAGATTGTCAAGCGTCCTTGTTTGTTGTGGGTTGATTTTCGTTGTCTGCATGGAAGCTCAATTCACACCACTTGCAGAAGAGCCGCAGCCTTTGCCGTTGCCAATGGATGCGTTTTTTTCCGTGCAGGGAATGGATGCTTTTGGTTGCCAAGGCCAGGAAGCCTCAGAATTTTTGTGGACATTTGGCTGTGGTGGTCAAAACCAATGGTACCGTTTTGGGGTAGGTGAATTCACCACCTCTTTTTTTTTTGGGGGGGGTCCGATTCCTACAAAAAAAGCGACACCCATGTGGCTTTGGTTGGTAGGTGGGGCCAACCGGGCTTTTGACCCATGGCCATGATGCACGCCCCAGGTGGTCCTAAAGGTCACGGATGACCGAATTTGTGTGGGGCTCAGTGCCTTCCGCCAGGCATGCCAGGAAGGTTCTCTATCCCGCGAGCGGAGTGAGCCATGGACCATTCTCAGGACGTCACAGTTGAGAGGCTGCACCAAAGCTATGCAACTGCCAGGGATGTGGGAATGCAGCCACACCCCAATATTGATTGATGGTTTCAACTACCCAAACCACTACCCTGCGGGGTTCAATGGACTTCGCAACTATATAGCCACTAAAGGGTATGCACCCCGTTTCCCAAAGTGGAAACCATCTGGTAAACAGAAAGTATGGCCTTTGGCAACTTGCCTCTCGCACGTGTTCGCTCACTACCCGTAAGTGCACGCGGGCCTTTTCAAGAGGCCTTCCCAGCTTGCATGAACTTCCGGAGCCGATTGGTTCCGGAGAGACATCAACTCCCTCACAAAAACCTCAGTGGCACGCCCCAGGCGGCACGCCTCGCTCCGTCTCCGTCCCAAGTCCTTCACTCATCCCAGCGAAAACGCCTCGCGCGCGCGCGTTTTGGCTCGGCCCGAGGCCTGAAGTTCCGCTCGGAGCTGATCGCCAACCTCAAGCACGTGGAGCGCTTGAGCCAGAACTTCGCCCGCTGGACCGCCACGAAGGCCTGGCGGGGCGCGAGCGCTGGAGTCGGGAAGGTCGTGGCTGAAAGAGAGGGCGCGGATCTTTTTGTGTAGGAAGTGGACCCCAAGAAAGAAGGTGGTGTCCCGTTGGTTTCCCTTTAAACCAACCCCAGACAGGGTACCATCAAGAAAGAGACATACCTATGTATGGGTTGATCGAAAGGTCCGTGATACATGGGATGACCTATTGGAGGAAACACATCAGAAAGATGATATTGCCCATTCCGTTCGGCTCCCAAATGACCATGGCCAACTTTGCTTATGTGGGACACATCATCCTTGTAATGGGTTTTCCGACCAATGGTCATGCAAAGGGCCTTTTGATCCAACCCCCATATGCGTAATGGTCAAAAGAAAGGGTCCTTTGCTTGGGATTAACGTTGGCATGGTCATTCAACTGGTAAGGATCTCTAATTTCTATGGAGGGAGCCATGACCATAGACCATAGGAGTTTTGACCATTGTACGTATGGGGAGGGGGACCCCCCATGGTGGTTTTCCCGTTTGGTTTCTCTTTACACTGACCTGAACACGGTCGCAAAGAAGGCAGAGATGGTTTACACCGGTCCTTCGGTTTCCCTAGGGGAACAAGTTGCCAACAACCCAAAGTCAGACCCTTTGGCAGGGTGCAATCATTCAGGCCCTTTGTTCGGGTACCCATTGCTTGGTGTGGATTGTTGGTTTGGATTTGGATTTGAACCCTGGTTCTTGTAGAGGGTAACTCGGAAACCACTCCGGACCACCAAACCACTCCAAACCAAACCAAACCACTTGGTAGTTTTCGCAGGCATAATTTTGGACCATTGAAGATCAACAGTTATACAGTTGACTCCTGGCTGGCAGACATGTGTGCTGGATCAGGTAGCCAGGTAGAGTGTGTCTCATGTGAACTGCTCTGCGACAGTATGTTTTGTCGGGGTGCTGCTGCATGTGCCACGCTGCCACCGCGTCGAGACGTTGAAAAGGGGCATATCAAAATCGGTGTCCGGGGTCTCAATTTGAGGTCTCGGGGTCTCATTGCAAGCAATTTGCAAGAATGGGCAAGCCGCAGTGCAAGCTTCCGATTCTGCGTATGCAGCTGGACCTACATCTATCCGATGGCAAATGGGGGGCCAATACACGATATGCTGAAGCTGAAAATGCACACAATTTGGCTCAACCACTCAAGCCAAGCTGTGACTGGGTGCATTCCGCTTGGCACCTGCTCCGCTCGTCACTGGAAGACTTGGATCCGCCAAATTCGGAAGCCGAGCCGTGACTTCACGCCAGGACCTGTCCAAGCTGGACGAGCCAGATGCGGAGCTGGAGGCAATCTCGCGTTGGGTTTTTCGTTTTGCTCCCAAGGGTCAGGGGGTCCTTATGTGGTTTTCGGTTTTTGTGGTGCTCAGTTTTCCGATTTTCTGCGGGTTTCTGATGCGCAGGACGCGAAGAAGGCCGCCAAGCCGACGGCCAAGACCAAGCGCCGAAAAGGCGCGCCTCTGCGACCCCACAGCTTTCAGCCGGAGGATTTCTGGCTCGGGGATTCCATTTCCTTCAGGTTGGTGAATTGAAAGTGTGATTGAGAGGAGAGCAATGCAGAGATTACACGCTCTGGAGGCTGAAGCTATGCGACGCCGTGCAGGGTGAGTCAGGAAGTGAACGATACCTTGCCTGACTTAGGGCATTGCAACCCTTCTGCGCGGTTGAGAAAAAGTTGCGGCCGTATGGGGAAATAGGAGGCGTGTTAAAATAACAGGGGGACGTCCAAAAACGGTGGTTGTCCTTTGGTTTCCCTTTACAACCGCCCAAACAAGGGTCATTACCTTCAAAAACACACAAATTCATGTAGCCTCGATTTGGTTCTCCTTTGAGAGCAATGGCCTTTTTGCTCCCAGCGAACTAGCACCAAACCAGACTGGTCCCTCGTCGACCGTTGAGAGACTGACGGCTGGGGCCCGCCGGTCCGAGGAGCCCATGGGTCAAAATCCAAATCGTGCCCCCAGTGAACATCCGATTCAATCCAGCCACTAAAATAGGTAACCTAAAATGGGAGGTGAATTCACCAATCCCAACCAAAATGGGATCCCATTGGTTTTGACAACCACAGCCAGTTCATTGAACTCAGCCTTGCATAGGGATGGACTTGCAGCCGTTGTACACGTCCCCGTGGCTCCACACGCGGACCTGGCGTGTCACAAAAGAGGCATCAAGCCCAAACCTTCACACCTCCCCTTGAGCCACTGTCGCAGAAGCCAGCACGATAAAATTGCAGTCGAGAGGTGCTGGAGCTGGAGTTGGAGCTGGAGGCAGGAGAATGGTGAGCGGGACAACTGGTGTTTTGACCTCCATTTTACCCCCAAAGTCAGGTTAGGGGTTGGCAAGGACAGGATTGAACAAAATGGTGAGCATGTCAGTGCTCTCAAAGGCAGGGAAGCGAGCAAAAAAGGTCGTCAATGAACTTGAGGATGTTAGGCCCGAAGTTGACGACTCGACGACCCCGGAGTGACCATGGCCACGTGAAACCTCGCTTAGCCCATCTGGGAACCTTTGCTCTACCGCTGGCCAACAGGCCCAGAAGGCGGTGGGCGCATAAAAAAGGCATGTTTTGCCCTACTGGTTTTGAATGAGCCTCGTGGTGCCTTGCTTTCTTCCACTGAGGTGGTCCGACCTAATTTCGACGATTGGGCATGCATGTATGTTCCCCCCGCATCGCAGCTATGCCTATCTCTATTCGCATGCCAAGGATTGTCTTTGTCCACTTCGGAGATCCTGCACAGTTTGGATTCGCACCTTAAACTTTTCGGTCCTTGGTCGCCAACAGCTCAACATGGTCACAAGAAGTTTGCCGCGCTCACCGTTGTGAAGCGTCAGATGTCAATGCACATCACAATTCCTGTTCAGTCGTTCTCCCGTTGCTTTGCGGCGCCGCTGCTTGGGTCTCAAGCTTCAGAACACAGATGTGCCAAGTGGCCTGCACCTTGTGGACAGATTCGAAAGAGGACACTTTTTCGTCAAAAGAGGATCCTGACTCCAAGTGCTTTTTCCTGGGTCGAAAACTGGTTGAAACAGGACACGTTTTTTCGTCAATAGAGGATCCTGACTCCGAAATGCGCTTTTCTGGGTCGAACACCGTGCTGCCAGGGTGAGGATGGCTTGTTGAGCCGGGCCCCAAGCTGGCCTTCCGGTTTCAAGGGAAGTTGCGCTCGACGGTGTTGAGGGAGTGCACCTTGGGATGGCATCTGGGAAGCTAGTAGATACACACGGTGACTTTTAAGTGGCTGAGGTTGTTTACTGTGCAAAAGCCACCAACCCAGAAAGATCTTGGAGATGTTTGAAAGATCAACTCTGCTTTGTTCTCTTGCGCCGGAGCCCGCCGATCTTTTGGGTGACCAGCAAGATTCATGCACCTCCGGCTTCCGACCCGCTTGGGTGGCGGTCGCCAAGGCTCTTCGCTGGACAAGCTCCTTGAGGTCATGCAGGCCGGGAAGGGATATACCCCAAAAACCACCCAGTGGGTATCCGAAGGTGATTTTGTTGACTGGCAACCAAGTCTATCCAAGGGAGCCTGAAAACACGGGGTGGTCATCAAGCCTAAAGCGAGTTGTGGAGAAACGTAATGGTTTCCGTAAGTCGGAGCCTCCCGTCACACATCGGTACTGGGGAGCTGGTAGTCACACTGAAGGGCAAACATGGGGCAGTTGGACTTCTCATTTTGGCTGGTCTTCCCCCCATTTTCCGCCTCTATTTTTCCTTTGTGTGTTTTCCCTCTGAACTGGCTGTGGGTCAAAACCAATGGTACCATTTTGGTTGGGATTGGTGAATTCACCTCCCATTTTAGGTTACCTTTTTTAGTGGTTGGATGCTCACTGGGGATGCGATTTGGATTTTGAAAAGCCCGTGGCCAAATGGTTTCCTCCATTTGTTCCTCCGGACACCGTCGCAGCCGAGGTCCTGGTACTCACGGACTTGGAGCTTTGCTTTTGGCCTGCTCCTGAGAGCCCACGTCGCGTTCCAATTTTGTTCGCGAAGCACCGGCCACACCACGTTCTTATGTAAACACAACCCCAAGAAACCTGGGCGCTTCCCAATTCCTGGCGTTTCATGTTGGTTTCCAGGGGGCCTTTTTTCTGCCCTTTGGGCATGTTTCTCTTCTTTTGAGGGTACCCATTGTTAGTCTTTTTGCAGGGAAGCAAAGCATTGCAAACTCCTTTGTCCGCCGTTCTGGTGGAAAAGCCCACCGAAATTCTTTGTGGATATCCTCTTCCAGGTTGGTTTTCGTAAGACAACCGGAAAAGCCGTCCACACTCTTTCGCTGTCTCAGGCCACCAGTATGCTCCCAAGACGAGGCGAGAGTTGCTGCCGGTCAGAAGCAAATGGGTCGATTCCATTGGTGAGGGCTGGAGTGACAAAAACACATTGTCTTGGGAACCTAAAGCAAACTTTGGAATGTTTCAGGAGTGTAACTCACTCCGACCATTCCGAACAACATGGGCTCAACAAGGGCACCTAATTTTTAAGAGTTTGGCCCGGAACATTTTGTTTGAAAGCTGACTGCTCAGCACTGCCATGGCAGTTGGATGGTCATGGGCAGGTCTGATGACAGCCACGCTCTGCATGCAGGTTTCTTCAAAGCACTATGCGTGCCCCACATATGAAGAGTTGGTGGAAGATAGCATCGCACCGGGCCGGTTCGACATGAACATGGTGGCCGGGGCAGAGTGGTTTATGGCAGCAACGACGGAGCCGACAATTCCGTCATTTTGCCACTGTACAGTGTCAACATATTCCGTGCATGAACATCCAACAACGCCAGGAGGATGGTACAACTACACGGCAAATTCCACCTGCTCGCTTGCTGGGGTGACAATTCCTTTCGCAGTTCCGTTGATGGGCATGCTGAGCGAGAATGCCAGCACGCCCGGTTGGCTGAAGGAGACTTTTCGGCTTTGGAACCACACCGTAGGCCCGAGGGATCCGAACTACGTGTTTCGGGCCGAGTACAGCAGAGGCAAAGTGAGATCCTTCCATACATATGCATGCTTGGGGAGTGTTTTCGGCAAGCCGCTCTTCAGCTACAGCTATTTGGTCCGGAAGGATGACGAGATCATGTCCAAGCTCGACGAGCCAAGCATCTTGGCGCAAGTGAAGGCTGCCAACGCAAAGGGTCTCATGGATTTGGACCACGTGCGAGCCACCCCCCTTCCGTCCTGGCAACAGTGTGGGTTGCTGGCTGATTCCATTTTGATTTAGTGCATCCCAACATGCGCAAGCATTGCAAATTGGGCAATGCGGCGCCGCCTTTCTTGCGAGTTGGGACGCACACAACGCCGTATGGAAAAAGAAAGCGTGTTTCGGGCAATGAGATAAATGTACACGTGGGACGCTGAAGAACCCCCAGCTGTTGAAGAAAACATGTTTTATTGTAGATACTGCCAGCACGGTGAATGAGAACAACTTATAGATCATCACTTACTTGAAGGTTGTATGGCAAATGAAATTCAAGACACTGAATTACCAAAAGAAGGTTCATGAATGTCTTTACATGTGAAGAAGCTGAAAGCGCCATTCGTTATTTACCGTGACAAGACACACAAATATGGGTTAGCAAGCTTGTATTGGGAAACCGTCCTCAGGCACGCTGTGCTTTGCGTCAGCTCAGCTGTGCACGGGTGCCCAAACATGCTCCGGCCGCGACAGAATCTCCAACTGGCAAATGGGGTGGGTTTTTGAGAAGTCCAAATCCTTTTGACACGCCCAAATGAAGAGGTCATTTGTTTGATTGGTCAGTTTCAACCAGTGATCAGTCCATTGACAGTTCCTTTTTTGAGACCTGGATCTTTTCACATCTAGCTTGGGCATTTGAGCGTTTCTGAAAGGAATTGGTCCTCATGCCAACACAACGGGGGTCCACTCGTGGGAACCAAGTTCCAATGCGTGATGGTGTGATGCTGGGTGATCTTGATGATGTGACGCTGTATGACTTTGGGATGCTGACGATACTAACGATGCTGCTGATGCTCATGATGCTCATGATGCTCATGATGCTCATGATGCTCATGATGCTGTTTGTGAATGATGCTGGTGATGCTGATGATGCCAGTGCTGATGATAATTATGAACATTGCAGTGATGCAAGTGATGCTGATAATGCAGTTGATGATCACTGTGATGTTTGTAAATGATGCTAGTGATGCTGGTGATGCGAGTGATGCGGGTGATGCTGGTGATGCTGGTAATGCGGGTGATGCTAGTGCTGATGATAATTATGAACATTGCAGTGATGCAGGTGATGCTGATAATGCAGTTGATGATCACTGTGATGTTTGTAAATGATGCTAGTGATGCTGGTGATGCTGGGGATGCGGATGATGCGGGTGATGCGGTTGATGAAAATGATGCTGTTCATGATGATGTTGCACATCGCAGTGATGCTGGTGATGCATTGCTCATCCTGAAAGCTGGTCTGGCAGGACAGGTCCACAAGGCTTTATTTTGGTAAAAATATTCATCACAGGGTCTGCTGGAATTTCCCGCAATACTGGGGCTGTGAAAACGAAGACTTACACACATCATGATCTTATGATCACTAGTTTTTTAGGTACCCCACAACCCCATTCCAATTATTTGGGTCCTTTCTTTTACCGGTTGCTTGGGATTTGGGCGCTTGGCTTAGGCCAAACGCCGGGCTGCGCTAGCTGCGCAGAGGGTACTCAGGCCGCTCCTTCGGGGGATGGGTATGGGACGGCAGGTTTTAGTCATTGGTTCCATTTACCAGGGGTCCATTTTTTGGGCACCTATGTTTGACCCACAGCCATGTCCTCTTGGTGAACATAAGTGGGCGTGTCCCTTTGTAACAAACCGCCCAAAATGATGGTTTCTCTGTTGGTTTCCTTTCACAACCACAAAAACGGTGTACCCTCAAAAAAGACAGACCCAAGTAATTTTGAGATGTTAGAATAACGAGCTGTCCAGGTGGTATTTCGATCTCCCTAACCTTGACCCTGGTGCAGACATTCGGCACTTGCTCATTGAGAAGGCTTCCTTGACAGACATGCATTTGCCATGTTGTGCTCCCCAAGATAAAGCAAGCGCTCAAGATCAGGTTGATTTCTTGGCCCAAACACAGACACCACACATGACAACCGAGTTTCGAATCTTAAGTAAGTGCAGCTATACTTTCCGGAATGACGTAGACAACCAGATTGATGGCGGGAATGTCTTACAGCCGTGCGTGTGCCAAGTGACTCCGAGGAAGTCGATTGATGAGCCCCAGCGCCCTAGGCCATTTCCGAGCTCCACAGCCCAAAGCAAAGCCCAAACTGCCAAGCACCATTTGAGTGAGTAGCGTAACTGGTGAATGATTTGTAAGGAAACTTGTAGAATTATGGGGAGTCTAGTGTTCGCTTCTGCCAAAAACTGGGGACTCGCCATGGATTGGAAGCTGCAAGGCGGACGGCTTTTCCCCATTAGTGTGTGTTTTTGTGTTCCTTGTTTGTGCTTTAGTAACCGCGATCGTTTTGGTTTTTCAGGTTTCTGTTTTGTGTATGTGTATATGTATATGCATATACACATACATATGCTTTTGACAAAGTATGTATTCTAAACAGACCACTATAGTTTCTCCCCGAAACTGGCGCAACGTGGGGCAAGGATCGTGGGATGACCTTGTCTCACCCCGACTGAATGTGGGAACGTGTCAACGTAGGTAACCCCTCAGAATGGGAGGGCTTTCCTTTTGGCTTGGTGTACCCTCAAAAAGCACAGCCCCAAGTGGAAGTTCAGGAGCACCAAAGATTAACAGACCCCACTTCACACCAAATATGGGAACCCCAACCCCCCCCCCCAACCTTCCACCCCCCCAAAAAATGCTGGTTGTCCTGTTGGTTTCCCTTTGAAACTCCCCCAAACAGGGTACCCTGAAGAAAAAAGACCGTGCCCCGCCTGGTTTCCCTTTGAAACTCCCCAAACAGGGTACCCGCAAAAAAACAACAAGGACCGTGGCCCACCTAACTTTGTGAAGCCCATGGCTTTCCTTTCACCCGAGGAGAGTGAGCCCTGCCCTGGCTCTGCAGTGCCAGCCGCCCTGCCCCGAGCAGCAGGTGCCGAGGGGGAAATGTTCGACGGGTGAAAATTGGCTCGTAGGTGGGCACGCGTTTATTTTTATTCCCCAGATAGCTGAAAGCTATAGGGGTTCTAACTTCTAATAAAGAGGGGGAAGTGATTTGCGAGATTGATGGGCTGGTGCTAAGGGGCGTGCAGTTTGGGGTGCTGGTTTTTGCGGATTGGGGTGCTGTTTGACGTGCTGATGGCAGCGCGGGCGCATCTTTTCAAGATTGACGGTAGGGTGCTAGGGGGCATGCAGTTTGGGGGTGCTGGTGCAGGTGCTGTTTTCGGGGTGACGGTGCACGCGTGTTTTTGCATCTTGACGGTAGGGTGCACGGGGGCATGCAGTTTGGGGTGCTGGTGCTGGTGGTGTTTTGGGATGCTGTTTGGGGAGCTGTTTGAGGTGCTGGTGACGGTGCGGGGGCAATTTGCGATATTGACGCCCGGGTGCTATCGGGCATGCAGGTGACGCTGCAGGCACTTTTTTGCATCTTGACGGTAGGGTGGAAGGGGGCATGCAGCTTGGGGTGCTGGTGCAGGTGGCGTTTTGGGATGCTGTTTGGGGTGCGGCTGGGTGTTTGGGGGGGTGCTGTGTGGGGTGCTCTTAGGGTGACGGTGCAGGCGCATTTTTGCGAGATTGACGGTAGGGTGCAGGGGGCATGCAGTTTGGGGTGCTGCTGCAGGTGCTGTTTTGGGATGCTGTTGGAGGTGCTAGTGATGGCGCGGGTGCTCGATTGACGGCCGGGTGCTGTTTGGGACGCTCTTCGGGGGGTGCTGTTGGAGGTGCTGGTGTGCAATCATTGCTATCTGGGGTCTATGCTGGTGTATCTATTTTTTGCATCTTCGGGGGCCTTCGAAATTCTGGTAGTTGCTACCCCCGTTTTTTGTGGCCTTCAAAAGAAACCACAAGGAAAACGGGGGGTTTTCCTTTTTGGCTTCTCTTGAACAAGAGAAGCCACAAAAAAGGCGGTAGCAACGAAAAGAAAGACAACCGCATGTGTCTCAAACCAGGAACCTGCAAAAAACAGGTGCTTTTCCCTTCGGTCCGCTCTTTTGGACACTTTTTTTTTTGGGCGGGGTCCGAGCCTCAAAACGAGGCACACAGCCATATTAAGAAAGACATGATGCCAAAACCAGTTTGGAATGCAGCTGTTGGATTAGACAGTTTAAGCAGTTGGCCCTTGCAAGCTTCTGCAGGAGCCCTGCGCAGTGGCAGGTGCGGAACCTGCATTTTTCCTTCGGTCCGCTTTTTTTCGACACACCCGTTTTTGCGGGGACCGAGCGCCTCAGGGATGGCAAAGGGCGCGTCCGTCTTTTGGAGTTGATGGCCCCGCTTTTGGGTTAGCTTTAAAGGGACATTGCTCCCTTTTGCTTGGTTCTAAAAGGGAAATTACCCCTTTTGCTAAGTTACCCCTTTTGCTTGGTTTTAGAGGGGAAATTACCCATTTTGCTTGGTTTCAGAGGGGAAATTACTCCCTTTTACTTGGTTTTAAAAGGGGAAATTACCCCTAGTTGGTTGGTTTTGAAGGGAAATCAAAAGCCACACCGTTGCGCCATTTTTTTTGGGTCCTAATCCGAAAAAAAATGACCCGACGAGCCGCTCGTCTTGCGCTCAAACATCCCGGGACAAAAAACAGAGTCCTGGCATGGCTTGTGGTTCACTTGCAATGCGCTTCCGACGTGTTGCTATGAGCTCCCTCTGGTTTGCCGTGACGCTGAAATACGGCTCTTGTTTCAGAGGGGCTCATGCAAACCATTTTAAGATCTAAAACACAGCGGGTCGTGTTTATTCTTGCGGGTACCCCTTAAAGCGGAAATCAAGGGAAACCGCTGATTTTTGGGGGGTTGGAAACGCAGAACGAGACCCAGGCCCAATGTTCGGCTCAAGAGGGTGAGCCCGACTGCTCGACTGCCCGACCGCCCCATCTGTGAACGCACTGCAGGGAGCCACAGATCAGAATCGTGGAAGTGTGGCAGCAGGAGAAATCCTTAAGCCTTCTTCCAGGTGGTAGTGTTTTTTCCCTTGTTGTAATGATGTCTCACGAATTTTCGGATTCGGATTGGGACTCCCTTCTCCTGAGCAAACCAGAAGCCAGCCGGACCCTTCTTTCTTGGTGTCATGTTGCTTCGCATTGGAACCTGCCAAAAAAAAGTCCGTGAGGCAGTGCCTGGTTGAGGAGGGGGTGGGGTTTGATCCCCTTTTGGCCGACTTGGAGAGCAAGCGCCTGAAGTCACCGGGGTGTGCTCCTTGCCTCTGCTCTTGGCAGTTTCCTGGTGCTTCCCACTCCTCAAGAAAGCATTGGGCAATTGGGGGGGCCACTTGGTCACTCAGGGGGCTCGGAGGGCAAGTCTGCTTCAAGAAGATCCAGGCATTGAAAGGAACACCCACATCAGGTGGTTTTTTCCGCACCCTCAGTCCAACATACCCAACAAAAGAGGACTTTGGGTGCCTGGTGGCTTCCCTGTCGCCTGAGAGGGGTGGCTTCAAGAATAGTGGAGAAATGGACCGATTCTTTTGCGAAGCATCCACATAAGGGATCGGGCATGTGTCGAAGGGACATATTGTTTGGACCCCCCCCCCCCCCGAAATGGGCTTTCCCATCAAATGTGACTGCTCTTTGGGCCTTAGGTGTCTGGAAACAGGCAGCAACTGTGTCCAGCTTCATGATAGAAGGGGCTACTTCCTTTGGGTGGCCTCCCTCAAAAGGCTTCAAAAGACTTCCCTTTTGGCTTTTCCTATTTTTTTTTGGAGCTTGTGGCTTTTCCGCGTATTTCGAGCTTCCCTTCGGTTTTCTTCGGCGGTCCCGCGCACCCGGTGAGCGCGCTCGCGCGCGATAGGGCGGAAGCGCCTCACTTCTCAGGTGCCCATGGGGCTCAACGAGCGCAAGGCCGACGCGTTTCTCACCGGGCTCTCTGCGTCCGGGGTGTGAATGGGTCTCAAGTCGCCTTTTTTTTTCAGAGTTGGCTTGCCCCGTTTTTTTTTTTTTTTTTTTTTTTTTTTTTTCTGGTTCTTTCTCTTTCTTTTTTTTTGGGGGGGGGGGAAGGGTGGCTGTTTTGGCTTGGAATCCCATGAGTTTGGGGAAGCCCAAAATAGAGGACATTCTATATTGCTGCTTCTTCAAACCTTGGGGATTTTCGAAGCGGGGGTGCTCTCCTGATTGGCAGGGAAACCAAGAAAACAGATATGTTTTCCTGAATCTCTAAAATGGACCCCTCCGGGTTCCTATAGTGATTTTTCAGAGGAGCATGCCAAGCAAAAGTGGTCCCTGATTTTCTGAAAGGCCAACTCTGCGCAAGCGGCGATCAGCTGCATGGTGTTTCAAAGGCGGATGAGTCGAAGGACGACAAGGACAAGGACAAGAAGGGTAGCGACAAGGATGCATCAAAGAGCAGCGACCAGGAGAACAAGAAGGATTCAGCTGCAAAGGATTCCGCAGCCGGAGGCGAGGCGATGCGTTTCAGTGAACTCTGGGCTGTGGCTTTGCTCAGCTTGGTGCAGCTGTAGCTTTGTCACCTTGACGTCTACGTCTGGCCCTTCATACCCGAAATCCCATGATTGGCTAAGAAGCTGCAAAGGTCAGCTGTCGGGCTGAGTTGCTTTCTGAGACGCAGGCAAGAGCACCAAGTACAAGGGCAAGAAGGGAAGAAGGCTGAAGACCAAGGCCAAGAAGCAGGACAGGAGTTGCGGTTTCCCGAACTTCCCAAGGCAGAGCAGAGAGAGAGAGAGAGAGATAGAGAGATAGATAGATACATGAACAGATCGATAGATAGATCGTTAGATAGATGGATGGATGAATAGATGGATAGCTAGATAGAAAGATAGATAGATAGATAGATAGAAAAATAGAGACCTTTTGGTTATTCCCTTTGATCAAGCTTGGAAGTGTACAGGGTTCCCCATATTTAAACATCACCTTCGGGGCGAGGTTCACCTTTTGGGTTTCTGGATTGAAAAGGAACCGTAGGGAACCGAATGACCAGCGCCGGCACCAGGGTGACAAGCACAAGAAGCAGTTCACCAAGGGCAAAGCTGGGAAGAGCGTCCCCGTGGGCGGCGGTGGCAACAGGCGCCTTGTTGGCCCGCATTTGCTTCAACCATACGGCGGGTGGCAATTGGGTGGGGGGCAAACTAGGGGACCGCCTAACCTCCAAACCATCAATCACCAATGAGAGGGAACCTTTGATGTCCCTTTTAATACCTACCAAAAAGGGTCCGCCTTTTCGAATTCACCCAATTGAGCGGCGCCCAAAATCTCATTGACCTTTTAGGTAGTTGTTGTTTTTTTCACCGTTTTGGTTCCCGCCGAGCGTCCGAGTTGTTCCAGTCAGTTTTGCCCCCGCCGGTCTTTTCTCTTCCGCCCAGTTTTTCCGAGTTCTTCCGGCCAGTTTTCCCGAGTACGGCTATCAGCCCAGTTTTTTTCCGTAAGTTTCTCCGGCCAGAGTCTTCCCCATAGTTTTTTTTTTTTTTTTTTTTTTTTTTTTTTTTTTTTTTTTTTCTTCCGGTTTTTCAGAAAGCGCCGGTCAGTTTGAGGTTATCATTTTTCCCGCGCTCTATTGTCATGCCTAGTTGGCGCAGCGGCGTTTGGGGGCTGACAACATCGTAGCCGGGCGGCTCAATTCCGTGCACACGTCGCGCCAGTCAGCAGTTCTTCCAGTCAGCAGTTCTTCGGGGGTTTCTTATTATGTCTTTGCTGTTCTTAAGCTCGTTGACTCTTCCTACAGCGCTTGCTACTGCTTGGATTCACGGGAGTTGGAAGGCTTATGAAAGCCTTGATAGCCATGCGGAACCAACAGTCAATGGGTTTCGGCCTGTAATTCCTCCTGCGAAGGAGAAAGAGGAAGGGCGCGCCCCACTACAGCGGCTACCTCTTTAAGGCAGAGTGAGGGGTGCTTTCTAAAATTGGGGACCGTCGGGAGTCCGGAGCCCTGGTAATCCAACCATTACTTGGGTGTCCTGGTCCATCCTTTCAAAAAGCACTGAGAGAGAGAGAGAGAGAGAGAGAGAAAGATAGAGAGGGAGAGAGAGGGAGAGGGAGCTGGCATCGAGTAGCTCCCAAGGATGTTGTAAGCACGCGGGATCGACTCCGTTTCCAATGGAGCGATCATAGGGATGTTGAATGGTCATATCGAGTCGGTATCTTTCTGTCAGACTTGATCACGCGACGCCGTGCACGCATGCAAGCTGATTTGTTCAGGCTATGATTAGTTTGCACTGGATATGAACCATTGAAAGAACCAAAGAATCCCAGCCATGCCTCAATGCCATGTCGATTTTCGCATGTATGATTGTCAGACAGCGTAAACAGCTCAGCTCAATTCCATGTGCGCAGCCACGGGGCAAGCCCGAACTGCTGACGTTGATTGGGAATGCCCGGGTGAAGCAGTGATATTGCAACTGACCGGGTCCTTGTCAACTACTCACATTTCAGTTGAAGCGTGGCAACACCACCCATCATTTCAGCAGGGCAAGAAGCACACATGAGTCCATTCTTGGAACTTTAGGCCAGCGGCCTGGGCGCCAAGTTTCGGATGGCCAGCTTTGATCGTGTCCACCTCGTTTGGTTACCCAAAAATAGGGGACCCTCCCTTCCCTGGACCGTGCCCTTCCTTCGCAAAACTGTCGCATTGCAGGTGCTGAAACAGGTTCACCCGGAGCTTGCCATCAGCCCGGCCCACAGTTCCTGGGAGGTCCCGATGCCCCGGATGGCCTGCGCGGACGTCGTCGTTTGCCTCGCGCACGGCCGAGGTAAGCGCGGCATGAACATCATGAACAGCTTCATGAACGCCGTGCGCCCAGGTGCTCCATGGCCTCCAGATGAGTGTTTCTCAAAATAGATCCTGTTTTTGGTGACGTTGTAAGGGAAGCCAGAAGGAAACCAGCCATTTTGGGCCACTATTTTGAGAAACATCCAGATGTTCACGAGAACAAAAGCGTGGGTTGACCGCCAAAGGCAACACAACCCTTTGATTCTGAGGGCGGGGGAGGACGTAGCAACCCCTGACAATCATATCATACGTAGACATATTTTGTGACATGCACCCTTTCATGCGCTAAGGATGTCTTCGACAGGATCGCCACTGAGGCTGGTGCTGGTTCGCGTGTCAAGTGCAGCTGGATGTACTCACCCCGCCAAATATGTGACACTTTCCATTCTTCTCGTAGTCAGTAACTTTATTGACTTGGAAAGGCACCCAAAGCGGATTTGTGCCAGCTTGCACGCACACGCACTTGTGTCGGCGCTTATTGAGCACTTGGATGTACGGACTGGAACGATGATGACGATGATGATGATGATGATGATGATGATGATGATGATGATGATGATGATGATGATGATGTTGATGTTGATGATGATGATGATTACGATGACGACGACAGCGGCGGCGGCGACGATGATGACGATGACGATGACGATGACGATGGCGGCGGCGATGATGATGACGATGATGACGATGACGATGACGATGACGATGACGATGACGATGACGATGACGATGATGATGATGATGATGATGATGATGATGACGATGATGATGAACAGGAATAGGAATAGGAACACGAATATGAATATGACTGTGGCCGTGAACATGAACATGAGAACATGAACATGAGACCATGAACATGATAACGTGAACATGAGAACATGAACATGAGAACATGAACATGAGAACATGAACATGAGAACATGAACATGCATGACCATGAGAACATGAACATGACTATGCTTATGATTATTGTTCCTACATACAGTAGTGTCTCCAAAAACGGGTCTGAGTTTGAAATGGCCGGCAACGTCTCACCGCTATTCAAAAGATGTGACACACGCCGAATTTATGAGGCGCCCCGATGCGATCTCTCAAAGTTCCTCGATTGGCAGACCTGTGACAAAAATTAGTTGTTGTAAGAAAATAGGAACCTGCCTTTTTTCCTGCCCCCTGTCAGGATTGCGAACCCCGGTTTGCTTTGGTAGGAGTGCACGGCATGAGTCTTGGCACGCTTGCGCCAGTCTACGAAGCTTTTGCGAATGATGTCGAGGAGGACCTTGTCAGGAAGAGAGGTTCAGACGTCCGTGAGGCTCGCCACAGCTGCAAGTGGCATTTTTTTTGAGCCCTCGCATCACAGCTGTTGGCAGATGTTTCGGAAACCAGAGGGCCCGACACCTTGCTCATGGCGCATTTGTCTCCAAGTCGATGAATCCGTGGACGAAATTCATCTCACGCGTCTCATGAAAACTTCCCCAGACTTAGCTCCCCTTTTAGTTTTTTGCCATTGTTTTCCACACACCAGTTTTTTATTTTATTCTTTTTTTGCTGGGGTCCTAATTTTCAGCCTAGAAAAACGGCCGCGATGTCTCGCCTCGGGCCTTCGGCCTGCGGTGCTGAGGCTGCTGCTCCCCGGGGAGCTTGCGAAGCACGCCGTGTCTGAGGGCACCAAGGCCCCAGCCGATCCGAGGGGCTGGGAGTTTCGGGTGCGGCCGAAGGGGGTGGCCCGGCTTAGGGTCGGATTTGGACGGAAAGCCGGATTTGAGGGTGTCTCTTTTTGGAATACCCCCTTCCCCCCCAAAGAAAGCAAAAGGGTTTTTTTTGTTGGTTTCCCTGTAAAGTCCTCCAAAGAAGGGAGGACCTTCCAAAAAATGAAAGGCCCACATGTGGTCAGACTACCCGTCATGGGGCAGGGACCCCTGAAATTAGGCAAACCCAAGGGGCCATGACCATTTGGACTTTTTTCATCACCCTTTAAGGTGTCCCTATTTTAAGATGCGCCCAAATGGTTCTGTCCGTGTGATTTGAATTTCAGCTGAGCCAAGTTTGTGCGACCCTGGTGCGGTATTTTGCGCCTTTAAAGTGGGGCCTGAAAGAGGGTTACTTTGTCAATCCTCATTTGGCTCATCTTACTACATACCATTTGTTGGCAATCCATGGTAGACTGTGCGGCTGAACTGTACGTTTATCATCCTGAAGCCATCCATCTTCGCTTTGTCAGGAGTTTGATGTTTCCTGCACACATATACATCCAAATGGGGGGTTCCTCTCAAAACAAGGCAAGTTTTGGACACTCATGGTATGAAAGGGAAGCGATCATTTGGAGGGGTTCCGAATTTTCAGCATCACCCACGTGCAGGTTGGAAGTCTCGAGTTTCCATTGTCGCTTTTCTTGGTGGCTGTCCTATGGTTTCACATGCCAGGCGTGCATAGGTTGGCCCGGTCAGAATTCACTACACGGGTTTCCAATTTGAACCGAACCCCCAGTCTGTGGCAAGTGGGTTTGTCTAAAAGAGGACCCCTCTAACTTTGAGGACCTCAAAACAAGACGAGCCAAGCTTTGCTGTTGCGTTTTTGGCGCCATCCGGTGCCACTCCCTACAGGTCTTTAGGTTGCCATCCATGTCAGTTGCGAAAGCCATTGGGTTGCCAGGCGGTGAACAAGTTCTTCAACCAGGAGGGCCAAGATGAGAACCCCAACCTCTGAGCTCCGAAGCAAATTCGGTTTCGCCTTCCCAAGCAGTGGAAGGGGATGTCGGTGCTAAGGAAGCGTTTCCAGCGCATGGAATCTGCGAAGTGTGCATCACCTTTAGAGAGGATTCGATGGACATGCGCCCTTCCTGGGATCGATGCAGCGCTTTGTATGCAAAGTCAAGCACCGAAGCTTTCAGATTTGATCAACTTTGGGGCTCCAGGCTGAGATGCTCCATGTTTGGTTTGTTTTCCCTCTTCGATTTCCGATGTGTTCAAGCTTCCGAGATTTCAAAAGGTACATTTGCATGTTGACAATGAGAGCACTGGGAACCATGGAGGTATTTGCAATGTTTTGCTGAATCTAGTATATACATATTTGAATTCATACACATTCCATGTGCACATTGGTTAAGTCATGATATGAATGACAGTTGACGAGATCTCTGACATGTGACGTGGCCATCATGCACACTTGCGTTTTGTTTAGCCTTGCCAGGCCTGTTCATATAATCTATATCATCTCCAAGCCCTATGAGACGGGTTTACCGAGATTCCAAGTCTAGCAAGTCTCACTGGATTCCATGAAGGGATCTGCATCAGGTGAGAGGTTGGGAAGTTGAGACAACGAGAAAATGGCTGGCGGAAGTTGGAAAGTGAACACAGAAGCAGACCTTAGGCATATTGCGTCTCGTTTCTCCAGGCAGCTTTTTTTTTTGGGGGGGGGGGTGCTGGCGGCGGTTCGGCCTCCAGCTCATTGACGCCATGCTGTGCGGGCTCTAGTGTTCGAATTTCTGAGGTTCCAACCAACTTGATACCAAAGCCTCTTGATTGCAGGAGATGCCTCGCCATCCAGAATGCGAGTCCCAACCTGTCACCTTTTGCCTGGCCGGGCCAACCTGGTGGAGGGAACACTCGTGCGGCGATTTGAGTCGCGGCTCGTGATTGAAAAAAAAAGAAGCCCGAGTCACCTCGGGTTCAATCCGAGGGCCGGAACACGCCAACACGCCGTTCCGAGGGCCCGCCCCGGTGAACGCACTTGGGCGGATGGCTCTCGATCGATGCCGGAAACGTCCCATGGAGCAAGCTGCGCCTGTGCTCGATGAGGTCACGAGACCCAGTGCTGTTGACCTGAAAACTCGACATTGCTGGTTTGCGCGTTTGAACTCTGTAGCAACGGTTGGGACTTCAATGGTGATAGGCAAGTGCTGCTTGAGGACACAAGAAGCCTGTGGGTGGCTGGCAGTCGATCAACCTCCATGTAGCATATCTCGCAGTGATAATCTGCCTGGGGGTTCAGCAGGCAGACTTAGCGCGCAGCAGCGGCAAGAAAAGGCGGATGACTCTCCCCGTTGGAGCCACGTGCTCAAAACCGATTCGGGTAGATGAAGGTTAGTAAGGGGCAGTCTCAGCCATAAATCATAAATAGCTGCAGAAATCCGCCTTCTTAATTCTTTACATGGTTCTGGGTAGACCATTTTAGTACCGGGTTTTGATTCTGACTCATTTGATGTGCCATAGTTTTGATGGTTAGAGACAAGGTTGCACAGAGCCATCCCACATGACAACTGACATGGGGTCCCCTGGCGGAATTGATCTTCCAGCCCTCTCTCTCACACATGCAGTCTTTTTCGAGGCTACGGCTTTTGGGGTGGTTTGGAAGCAGGAGTGAATGGCACCCATCAATTTTGAGGCTTCCCCTATTTTGAGACAAACCCAAGCGTAGCTGATCGGGACATCTGAGGAAAACTCATCCGATTCATCGCTTCGACACAGTGCTATGTCTATGGTTCCTCCCCGCAGATGCGGATTCAGTCTTTCTTGTCTGCAGGCGTTCCCTTTAATCTCTCGAAACCAGCCATAAGAGGAGCTTCCTTCTGAGCCATGTGAGGCTTCAATACTCCATTTCAGGCCAAATGACCAGCAAGTTGTCCCATTGAGTGGCAAATGTCAAATATGTTTCGTGGCTTCTTCCCCAGTCATCTCATGTAAACCCTTTGTTCAACTCCCACGTTTCGGTTCCAAGTTCTTTTTGGCCAGGAGGCAAAAGCCAATGCGTAGCCCCAGTGAACATCCCAATCCCCACTATAGCTTCCAAAATGGGTGGTGCACCGAAAACCCCAAAATGGGACCATTGAACATCCCAATCCCCACTATAGGTTCTAAAACGGGTGGTGCACCGAAAAACCCAAAATGGGACGCCACAGCCATGTGTCGCCCAGTTGGCGAGTGCCGCAGGCGGTTGCCAACTGGGCGCAAAGGACGTCTTCGCGCACACATCGCTGCGGGCCTGCGAGGCAAGCATGAAGCCCTAAGACCCCACTTGGCCCTAAGACCCCTAGCTGAAGGTAGATTGCACCACTCCGGGATCGAGGTTTGATCTTCTTCTTTGCTTGCGTATAGAAAGGTTGCATTCAGCACACAATCCCACCATTATGTTTTCATCATCTACTCAAGGCTTTTATGAAGGAAGCCTGGGAAGTTCAAAATGTGACCCAAACCCTCTCATTAAAATCTGCAGAGGTATCCCCGCAGGTTCCACTTGACTATCTAGACTGAACCCAACTGGTTGGGGGAATGGACCCACGACCATGACTTCGGCAGCTTTGGGTCTCCCTCTGCCACCGCAACAAACGGACTGAGTCCGAAACGGGGAAGCTGAGGGTCGCTGCATTGGGGTCCCCTCCCTCCGACTCCGAGATCCCTGGCCGCGGCCTGGGCCTCATGGTGACGGCCGCAGGGGCCCCGACGGAGATCGCGCGCGGAGATTGGGGTGTGGGACGGGGTGGGGGGACGGGGTGGGGTGTGGGGAAGTTAGGAAAATTGGGAAACGGTGAAAAAAGATTTGGTAATTTTGCTTTCACCTGTTTTCACTTTGTTTTTAGCGGCCTTTCTCTTTGCGGTTTCGAAGCAGGTAATCCAACAGGGAACCAAACCTTGCAAAGAAATGGTCGAGCGAAATGCTCATTAGGTGCCCCAATTGCTACGTTTGGGAGAAAGTGTACAGGCTGTTGCAACCGCCAGGATTGGTGGATTGGTGCTGGAAAATCGGGTCCAGTGAGGGTTGCCCTTCTTGGGTTGGGGGTTGGGCAATCTTGTTCCGAGCGGCCAACTTGGCAATCAAGGGCTAGTTGAGGGTGTCTTTTTTTGGGGGACCCCCACGCCCCCAAGTAAATACATCGTGGTTTTCCTTTTGGGTTCCCTTCGAAGCCCACCCCAAGGGCACCCTCAAAGTAACGACCGCCTCCTTTGGCTCTTGCGACGTTGACATCTTGGGGGTATTCTTCTTCCCAACCTGCAACAGCTCGAGCTTTTTGGGAAGGGGGTAATTCATGGCCATCCGGAATAGGCAAGTGCACACAACACTAGACACGTTCACACCATGACTATGATTGAATATTGCTTGACCCAGATCAAGTTAACCAAGCCACCACACCATGCAGGCGATCAGTGAGTTTGGCAACACATACTTGTGAACTTGTTCGGCCAGTGAATTCTTTCCTTTACATCTACTCAACTGGGCAGTGTGCTCGGAGGAGTTTCTCTATGGCTGTACGTCACATGTATTGATCAACTCTCAGGCCCAGACAGATGTCTGGGTGTTTGAGCGCATTTCCTTTGTCTCCCCCTGCGGTGCCCCTAGACGCTTCTTGCCACAGAATAACAAAACATGTGAAGAGGACTGAAGGGACACCAAAAGGAACACTATCGAAATGGAGGTTCAACAATCCATCAGGGTATGGTTCGTCAGAATAGGACAACAACACACAATGTATCAATCAAACAGGGATATGGAGCACCCAAACTGGATTTCGCCTTGCCTTGGGCTTCCCTTCAACCCCAGCCCAGCAAGGGGTACCGAGTCTCAAAAGATCTCGCAGGATGTGGAATGTGGCGTGGAACTGCTGAGAGTGCCGGAGGAGGGACCTGCTGCAAAAATGGGGGATCCCTTGCTGGGTTTAAAGGGAACAGGACACCAACCAGGAAGGCCCCTTTTGAGAAACACCCAGATGTTCAAAAAGGGGGTCTCAAGTTCTCCTTCAATGAGGATGATGGACGTTTTTCCTTGCCACAAAGTCAAAAGGGTTTTGATCGTGAGGCCCGAAGCAATCTGCTGCTTCCACCGAGTCAGTGGCCCTCACAGCTCCGGTTGGGTGTTTCGCGATGGTTGGTTTCTCGCCCAACACCTGCCAAACGAGGATCGTAATTTTGAGTTTTTACCCAGTGGATTGCCGCTTCGGCCTTTCATGTGTGGACGTGCGATTGGAGTGTTCTGTTAATCGGCCGAAAGAGCCACAGCTCTAATCAGCGCCCGATGTCTTCCGAGGGGTATCTCCAAAACGGCACCAGCATTCGTTGTCAAGAAAAATACACGTCCACCGGAGCAAACCGGTCGAGGTGTGGGTGCGATTGGTTGGGGGACATGAACTTCCCAATTCGTTCTTCTTTCTTCTTTTTTTTTTTGTTTTTTTGTGTGTGTGCATGTCTGTGTTTTTGTTTTTGTGGGTCCCCCACCAATTAATAATACGCCCATTTAACATGCTCCCCCGAATCCTTCTCAGGTCAATGCGCGCCACAAAATGATTCGAGTTTCCCTGGAAATACCATGAATCGTTCTGGTTTCATCCATGGTCTCGCTGATGAGTCGATTCCCCAACGCAGATGCCAACGATCATGATGGTTTCGAGCAGATGGTTTCATTTCGTGGTGCGAACGGATTTCGCAACCATCAGTATTAGTTGGGGGGGTCCCAGTGATGAACCCCCTTTGCCCTTTCGGAGACCCCCCGAACCAAGCAGAGGTTTATGAATTCGGGGTTCCCAGTCATCAATGGGAAAAGCGCCATCGATCTTGAGCGATTCGCTTCGCGCATCAGGAGCAGCTGCTGAACATCTACAGCGCCCTCCGCTCTGAGGCAAGTTCGACCGATCGAAGGCACCAAAGTGCAGGAGCCCCATCCCTCAAAATGACGCTCATGGGAACATCTCAAAAAAACATACCGCCAAAAAGGCGTGG